GCATAGAGAGAGAGCAAGATCTCTAGTATTTCTTCCTCTTCCTGTAGGGACACCAGTCCTATTGGGCTAGGGCCCCACCCTTATGACCTCATTTAACTCCACCTCCTTAAAGGACTTGTCTTCAAATACAGTCGCTTCGGGGGTTAGGGCTTCAACACCAACATATGTATTTGGGCAGGGGGACACAATTCAGTCCATTGCAGTAATTTAGGAGGTGTTAGGTAACACCTGGAGAAATAATGGTTTAGGGTGTATACTAACAATCACCAGTTTTTTGGTTTACAATACCATTATGATAATTTATGTATTAAAATGTCTAAATAGATTAAAATCTCTAAGTGTCAGCAGAAGAATGAAATGTAAGGCATATTTCAAAGATATGCCATCGGAACACTCATTTTTATAAGCTATAAATGGTTTATCTCATCTTCAGGGGAACTTTTTAAAAATAAAATCCTGGGATGGGATTTATCCATGCAGAAAAGCACAAGAATTCCCTGTTCTCTGACAGTTTGTCATGGGGTTTCCAGAGAAACATGGAAAGCGGTGGGGACCGCTGGTCCCACTCAGCCCTTGCCCCTCTCCAGCCATCACTGCCCATGCACAGAGTCTCCTGAGCCCAGTCGCCCCGCCTGCCAGGGTGTGTACTGGAAACAGGCATGTGGCCTCATAAACGAAGCAAGTTACTAGACTTGCTCCATCAACCTCTAGTCTGAAGTAGCCTTTTCCCTCGGGGAAGCTTTTAGCTTCTGCTTTTTCTTCCACATGAGGATTAGGGGAAAATGGTTGGTTTTGTTTTTCTGTCCCCCTCACCCACTCCCTCCTCCTCATGCTCCTGAGGGAAGATATCACATATCAGAGGCAATTCTTCTTCAGAAAGACTTAGGTATGTCTACAAATCCTCTTGGAGGCCTCGGTGTATTAAAAGTTTTATCTCTGGGGTTCAGAAAGAAAGAAACACTGGGATGGCATGCAGGGTAGGGCTTCCCCTTTCTAGGAAAAATGCTGCTGATGAACTCATGCCTCTAGGTGCCATCTTAAATGATCAATGTCAAAATGCACAAACGCTCTTCCAAGTTATTCCTCTTTGTTCCTTGCCCGTAAATCCAGTTTTATAGTCATTGTTTATTTTGATGGGACTTGAATCTCCAATTCTAAGTCTTCACTCCTGTCCTATTATTTTCTGAAAAGGTCCAACAAAACAAGTGGTTTCTGAGATTAGGATGTGTTACGTAAATGTTGGCATTTATACTAGATCTTGTCTTATTTTTCAGAAGAGCTCGTAAACAAATCCTCACTTCAATACTTTCATAAGGGTGAGTAGATGGTAGCAACCCCTGAGTCTCTCCAGTGAGCCCAGTGTGTCATTCTTTGGGGGCTGTGGTTTGTCTTGATGTTCCAGCAAGTTTTCCATTTCAAAAACTATGATAGGCGTGGTGCGGTGGCTCATGCCTGTAATCCCAGCAATTTGGGAGGCTGAGGTGGGAGGATCACTTGAGCTCGGGCATTTGAGACGAGCTGGGCAACATAGGGAGACCCCATCTCCACATATAATTTAAAAAATTAGCCAGGCATGGTGGTGCATACCTGTGGTCCCAACTACCCAGAAGACTTAGGCAGGAGGATCACCTGAGCCTGGGAGGTTGAGGCTGCAGTAAGCTGTAATCATGCTACTTTGCTGTAGCCAGGGCAACAGGACAAGACTCTGTCTCAAAAAAAAAAAACAAAAACAAAAACAAAAAAATAAGAACTATGACACCAGTTATCTGTTTGGTTTGGCAGCATTAATTGCTTCTTCTATCTTAATTCCTTCGTAGAAACCCTGACCAAATTCTAATGTTTTATTTAAATGGAGGTTTGCAAAAGAACTGATAGGATAAGATACTTTGAATATAAAGAGACCAAAAAAATGAAAATAAGAGTTAATTCGGATAAATGGCAAAGACAATTTACATTTCCTGACCCGTGATTAATTTTTCCCCATCCCTCCACTGTAAACCTTCTTCCCTTCCCTCACCAGATTTTTCCATGATGGGAAGAGTGGTCTTCTAGTGTATGTTTCATTTTCTTTTTTTCTTTTCTTTTTTTTTTCTTTTAAGATGGAGTCTTGCTCTGTCACCCAGGCTGGAGTGCAGTGGCACAATCTCGGCTCACTGCAGCCTCTGCCTTCTGGGTTCAAGCAATTCTCCTGTCTCAGCCTCCTGAGTAGCTGGGATTACAGGTGCGTGCCACCATGCCCAGCTAATTTTTGTATTTTTAGCAGAGACAGGGTTTTGCCACGTTGGCCAGGCTGGTCTCAAACTCCTGACCTCAGATGATCCACCTGCCTCAGCCTGCCAAAGTGCTGGCATTACAGGTGTGAGCCACCGTGCCTGGCCTATGTTTCATTTTCATATGGCTTACACATGGGAGGAATAAATTGTTCTTATCAGATCATATAGTCTGGTAATTTCTAGGACTAGTAACCTAATATAGAGTGCAGTGTCCGGATGTGCCCATGTGTATAATCCAGAGTCATGTACCTCAAGGGCCAGGCAGATCATATAAAGGAGTGGCGGAGGACAGGTGTAATACAAAAGGGGATGTGGGGACTGGGCACACTGGGAAGTGCACAGCCAGGGTGATGTGAGCAAGCTTAGCTCTACCCACTGCTGCTGTGCAAGAGCATTAGACTAGTGTTAACCCATGTTTATCCCTTTTTAATTTTTTGGCACCCCAACCCCAAGCCCCCCCCAAATCTGTTTTTTTAATGCAGAGTATCCTGATTATTTAAACTTAGGTCATCAATACAAAGAAATTAAACCCCGTGTTGACCAAACAACAGGTCCACAGGTCACACTCTGTCTAACCAGCCTCAGCTCCACCAGGCCTCACCAGCCCTGTGGGTACAGGTGAAGTCACTTTAAAAGATCTGACTTGGCCAGCTCAGCTGTCACTTCACACAGACATAAAGATAGGACCTCCCAGGCAGCACCTCCTGGCTCCCCTTTCCTCTGCCTGACCTGTCACTGCCCTTCCACCCGCACTGCACTGATCCTTCCAGGGACCCCTGCCCCGGGATATTCAGCATTCCCAAGCTCCCTGTAGGAATTCTCCTAGTGGGCCACCCAAACCTCTGCCCCCAGGCTGCCAAGAAATCCCTGTTCTTTTCTTTATGGGAAAAGGATTCCTCTCCTCTTGTGTTTCCTTCTGTTAGACAGAAGGATCTCACAGCCAAGTTGCCTGGCATATTACAGTTGTTAATTCTCTTGGTTTGGGTTTTGGTTTTTCGGCCACCCACTCTCTTTGTCAGGTCATTCGCAGGCTGTCCAAATGGCTAGGTGAGGCCAGTCTGATTACCTGCCACATACGAAATCAGAAACCAGTACTTCCTCTCACCAGAAGAATGGCCCTCTGCTTATTCTACTTGCCCTACCAGACTTCCTTCCCCTCATCTCTCCCAGGGTCACCAAGGCTTCTGTGGCCATCAGACCTCAGCCCCAGCCCCACCTTCCTTCCCCACATAGAATCTGTGCCATATGCCTGAAAATATCTGAATCCTAGTTTTAGATACTGTTAGAATACTTTTTCTAGGATCCCTCTTAGACAGGCCCCTTGTAAATCAGTCAGTCATTCCGTAAAAATAAGTAAATGGGTTAGGGGATAGCTACAAAGACCCTTCTAGTCTCACTCACCCAGTCTCTATGGAGGCTCATCCAGGACATCTCACTGGAGTGAATTTGTTCTAATAATCGTAATTGTATATAAACTTAAAGTATAAGAGTTCCTTGAATAATTCAGAACTAACTGTATATTATCTGTATATTATAGGAGCATAATTTTTGCAGGTGTACAGTTAGCTCAATTGCTGTGCTACTGCTTTGTCAGGGATATATTAAGGCAGGTGCTTGTTTGGGATGCAACCACAAATGATGACAATACCCCTGTGGTAAAATGAGCTGTTTCATAATCTACTCTATAACCTGGTTCCAGAATGCAATTTTGCAGAAAGTGGAGACGATGTCAGTGAATAGGTAAAAAGCGTGACCTGGATGCTAGACATTGGCTTACTGTCAGATGATGTCATCGAAAAATTTTGCAGAGAGTTTTTTTATTGATCATGGTTAACACATCTATCACAAATTCTGCCACAGAAGGAATTACAGGGCTGGGCGCAGTGGCTCATGCCTGTAATCCCAGCACTTTGGGAGGCTGAGGCAGGCGGATCACAAGGTCAGGAGATGGAGACCATCCTGGCTAACACGGTGAAACCCTGTCTCTACTAAAAATACAAAAAATTAGCCAGGCATGATGGCACATGCCTATAGTCCCAGCTACTCGGGAGGCTGAGGCAGGAGAATCACTGGAACCCGGTAGGTGGAGCTTTCAGTGAGCCAAGATTGCACCACTGTACTCCAGCCTGGGAGACAGAGCGAGACTCCGTCTCAAAAAAAAAAAAAAAAAAAAAAAAAGGAATTACAGGGAATCAAAAGCAGTTTCCCTGTACAAAGGCCACATGCTCCTGGTTTTGCATTGACCTGTGGTTGTCTGACCATAATGGTGGGACCATGTTTTACAATCCTAAAGTTATTTGATAGCCTCAAGAGAGACAGTCTATGGAGTTAAAAAGTGGATTGGTGGGACCCTCACCCCAAATCATGGAACCTTAGATTCTTAGATTTGGAAAGTCTTCTTAACTGTCAGAGACTCCAGAGTTCTAATCCAGAACTCTGGATTAGAGTTTTTTACTAATCCAGAAGGAATCTGGATCACAGAGAGGTTAGTAACTTGCCCAAGAAGATAAAATTGTCTGGGGGAGCTGAGATTCTACACATCTCAACTTCAGATCTTCTGTCCTTTCCACACATCATTTCATGAGCCGTAGGTGATGGTTTAGATTGAACAAAATAAATTTGGCTTTGGGGATGGTGTTTTTTGTTGTTGTTTGTTTGTTTTTGAGATAGTTTTGTTCTGTTGCGCAGCCTGGACTACAGTGGTACAATCACAGCTCACTTCAGTCTCAATCTCTTGGGCTCAAGTGATCCTCCCACCTCAGCCTTCCATGTAGCTGGGACCACAGGCACATGCCACCACGCCCAGCTAATTTTTTATTTTTTCGTAGAGACGGGATCTTACTCTGTTGCCCAGGCTGGTGGGGATGGTTTTTATTATTAAATTACTAGGCTGATAACCAATAGTCATTATGAAAACATAATTCCTCAAAACTCTTAGAGCAGCTTAATTCATTAGGTTTACCATTTTGTTATGCCCTAATTTGTACAGACTCTTAAAGAGATATCTTATGTCTGATCTGTACTGGCAACCAGGCGGTTGTCCCTGGTTCTGGGTCCCCCAGGAAAGGTGTCCAGCTAATCCTGGGAAATGCTCAAGGCTCAAATGCACATGGTCAGTTCTTAAGTCCCCTGGAAGCAGCAAGACAAACAGTGGCCTGACCACTGCCCTCAGCCGTCAGTCTGTCCTTTTGTGACCCCCTCTTTTGGGGCTCCTTTGATGTGCATTTTAATCTGATAATACCCAGATGGAAATGCTGGGCAGGGAAGTTTACATTGTGATACACTGGAACCACACCTTTTAAGGACCTAGTCAAAGCTATTAGGCAAGAACAGAGTCATAGTTACCGCCCAAGCAGCTCTGCCCACTGTCTGGAGGAGAAAGAAAAGGTGAGACTAGAGAAGACTGATATATGCAGGTGAAGGGATGGGATTACCCCAGAGTGGAGAAGGAAAGTAGTACCTACTTTAATAAAGGAGCATTGTTGGAGTAAACATAGTTATTAATTGTGGTATGTAACAGTATATTTGCAAACACGATTGCCCAGAAAAAAAAAATCTAGGTTGGGTGTTCACTGTGGGTATAATGCCAGGTACACCAGCAGTCTATGCCAGTGGGAAGTAAAGCAGCCTGGATGGTATTTTCTCTTTGGCTGGTTTCCCCTGGTTGACCTCTTCTCAGCCTTCAGATGTCAGTCCACACATCCCTTCCTCAGGGAAGCCTTCCCAGACCATCCCAAACTAGGCCTGGTCCCCTTTACACATTTCCATAGTGCCTGTGCCTTCCCAGCCCAGTGTGCACATCACACAGCCATCAGTCACCTGTTCGAATGATCCTTCAGTGTGTCTGCCTGGCCAAACTCTGTGCCTTTTGAGGACACAGCGATGTTGATGTACCTAAAAGTCTGACTTGGGAGGAGTGGGGAGAACATTTATTTCCCTGAGGATGTTCTCCAAAAATGATATCTTTCTTAACATGTTTAATAGTAAGTTGGCATGAGGACTTAAAATTCTGAAGCCACTTTGGTAGAAGCAGTAGGAAAGCATGTTTTTGACATATAAGGAGAAGGTGATCAGAGGGTGGTGACAGCGGTAAGTCCGCTCTACCCCATGCGCCCCACAGCCACAAGGGGCAGCTCTCCCCTTTGACCTCTCTGCACCGCTCCCCCATCACTGAACCCTGCCTCCAGGAATCCCTTAGGGTAGTTATTCCATCAGTATTTGAACAAAGATGCAAATACATATGGGAAACTGATAGGACAGCTCAAATAATTAAGGAACTACAAAATGGAGGTGAGGTGTGATTTCTCCTGTGTTTTCCTATAGTGGTCTTTAAAGCACTCCAGGGTATGATCGATTATTTGTGTAGGGTTGGGATGTCTGGTAACTAACAGTGTCTAAACAGAGACCGGACACACTTGGTGAGATGTTGTAAGTGGTAATTGAAACACCGGATTAGAAAGCCCCAGAGTATCTTTCCAATGTTGACATGCTGTTATCATAGGATTCTTTTTAGTCCATACAGCTCCCCCTAGAAAATAAGTGTCATAAAGGCAGGGGTGTTTGTCTGTTTTGTTCATTGTTGTGTCTTTAGTGCCCAAGGCAGTGCCTGGCACATAGTAGCTGCTCAATAAATATTGAGTAAATGAATATATCAGCAGATATCAAATTCACAATATTTTTCTGGTATAGAATAGACTCTAATTAAGTGTTTATTTCATTGACCTGGATCAAGCAGGCCATAAGTCAAAACGGGGCTAAAATTTGGCATTGTATCACCGAGTAAAAAGCTCAGGCCAATATTCTGACCGCATATGAAGTCAAACTGCTATCAGCATTTTAGACCAATGATTCTGGAGTTAGGGTGACATTGCATCAGCCAGGGACCTGGCAAGAAACTGAATTGGCTCAGCTGGTTCAAATGAAGGGTGTATGTGAAGCAAAGAGTGACAACAGTGGGAAGCCTTAGCCACTGCTTTTGGGACAATCTATAGGGATCCCTGAGGGACCGGGGACAACATAGAGTTAAGGGAGCCCAAGAAAGGCTGGAACCATGGAAGACCTACCCCAAATCAATGAGGGAGTAGAGGAAATGCCCCTATTTCCCTCCCTTCCTGCTTCAAACTATTGGTGCCTCTAGCCAAACCTACCTGGAAGGCAGCCAGCCAGGGAGCGGAGTGTGCAGACCTCCAGACAAAGCAAGACTGGGAAAGACTGGGCTGGGGGTGTGGCAGGAACAAGACCTGCCATGTAAATTCATTCTGTTTTTCTTATATCTTAATCATACAAATAATACATATTCATTAAAGAAAATGTAGAGATCAAACCAGCAGTCTTCATGTTTTAGCTTTTTCCTCCTCCTTTTTCTGTTCTTTCATTTGCTTGTAAAGGATTCAGTAATGTTTATTCAGAATAAACAGAAATCAATTTGGTTACACTTGTTTCTTGACCTAATTCCGATTCAACCTGCAGTGGAACAGAGAGCTCTTTTTCCTTTCCTTTGTTGTGTTAACATAAACAAGTTACTTCATGTACCTCTGTGGGAACGGGGAATTAGGCAAGTGTTTAGACTCTCAAAAACTTTCAGCAAGTTTGGCTGTCAGCTTGGATACCAAGTCATTAAATATAAGATGAAAGATGAGTCCGACTGGGCTTATTCTCTAAGACTGGAAAGTGAACCATAAGTGAAGGCAGCTTCATGTAGCTTGATTTTACTGTCAACATAAAGTTGCTATCCACTTTTAATTTTAATTGAAGGACAGTGTGAAACTAAGGGGAAAGAGAATTTAGGAAAATAGTGCAAATGCTTATGTACACAATTGTTGGTAGTTTACATCGGCAGTGTGGGACGCTGCTTCACAGCACTTATCATACTTGTCATTTTTTTGTTGGAGGCTTAAAGCCCATGTCCATTCACTGTGCCCAGCATGAGGCCTGACGTTCAGTAGGTCTGGTACATAAGGGTGAGTAAGTGGTGATTGCCAGTTCAAGTGGAGAGAAGGTGTGAAGGAAGAAAGATCAGCAGGATGTTGCCGTGTGCCTGGAAGTTCTGAAAGCTAAAGGTCAGAACTTTATGGCAACAGAGGGTATTCAAGGCCATTGTAACACCAATATACTCAGGTCAGTGAACTCCATTGCCTTCTTTAGTTGAAAAAAAAATCCTGGAAAGTAGTAAGTCATCTCAACTCATTTAGAGAGAAGTGAGTTCTGCTTTCCTGGAGTGGAATCTATATTTGGCCTTTACAAGTATCTCCGTCAATGGGATTGTTTCCATGACTTGGTGCAGGAGACCAAGTGAATATGAGCACAAACCACCCCCCTTCAGTTCTAGAAAGCATATAGGCTACCCTGAGATAAATCATCTGCTCACAGGTCTTACGTCTTAGAGGTTAAGCTGTCAACTATTATGACATTGAACGTAGCCTTAGGAGTGGGGGAAGAAGACCGATTGTGATGAGTCCAAGGATGGTAATTGCTGGAGGTCGGGCGGGGGTGGGGGGAGTCTGAACCAGTTCAGAGATTGATTCCTGTTTGCTCCCAGAAGCTTGTCTGTGTATCCCCAGCAAGCTATATTCCCTCCTCTGCTGCTCTTGAGAATTACCTCTCGCAACCTACCACCCCTAGGTCTATGGGAAGGGGTAGGGGGCAGTTGGCCAGGTTGAGCTGAGCCCTCCCCTTCATTCCATTGCAGCTGTGGGTTTGTGTCCAGAAAAGAGGAGGAAAGGCTAGCAACTGGAGTTTGCCTCTCTCCTCTGCCAGGATGAGAAATTCCTTTACAAGCCTCCATAAAGGTGATGTAAGTCTCAATGGCTGTTACTCTGAAACTATAAGATAATCTTGTTTTAATTGGTATTTTGGAAAATACATTCTGCTGTAAGATTTCACAGAGCATCCAAGCCTTTTCTTCCAGTGCATTTTTTAGAGTATTTCAAAAGTATAGATTGTGTTGAATGCCTTTACTTATGAATGGATTAGATGTGTATTATCTCCTGGAGAAAAATGTGTCTGGAAGCCGACTGCATTCTTCCACGGATAATTAGTTCATTGTGCTGAGCACAGCGAGTCCTCCGATGGTGTCCTTAGAGATGGGACTGGTAGATTATCGAAAGCAAGAGGCTCTTTGCAACATATTTGCTTGCTTGATATCTAAAAATTGTTCAAAAATAACTAAGACTTGGTTGTATTGTCTCTGGGAAAGAAAAACCAAGTATCCTAATCAAAGAACTGAGTGACAAATTGAGCTAACGATTGTCACAGACGCAGAAAAATGATCCCAGGGAGGAATGCTTGAAACAGCAAGATTTTAGAGTCTGGAACGTGTGCCCTTGAAGGCCATCTCAGTTCATGTCATGGCCGACTGTTGAAAGGACGATGGAGATGTTAAATCATAACTTGATTGCAAGGGAAAGGCAGGCCATGCAAAATAGTGTGGTGAGTAATAGGCTTTATTTGTTCGTTTGTTTTCTAAAATTCTTAGGACCATGCCTCCGTACTGACATTTAGTGCAGTAGGGGCTGAGAAACTACCTTTTCAGTTGGATGGTTGAAGTCCTGGTAACTATTTAGTATTTCTAGTTTGGTTTCTATTGTTAGATTCAGTACTCCAGGACTAATGAAAAATGGCTTCACTTAATTTCTTCTATACTTGAGTGCTTTTGTCTGCTTTAGACCTGTGTCTTTTGCTGACAGAATTTTTTTTTTTTTTTTTTTTTTTTTTTTGAGACATAGTCTCACTCTCACCCAGGCTAGAGTACAGTGGCGCCATCTCAGCTCACTGCAACCTCCACCTTCCAGGTTCAAGCAATTCTCGTGCCTCAGCCTCCCAAGTAGCTGGGACTACAGGCATGCACCACCATGCCCAGCTAATTTTTTGTGTTTTTAGTAGAGACTGTTGGCCAGGCTGGTCTCGAACTCCCGGCCCCAAATGATCCACCCACCTCAGCCTCCCAAAGGGGTAGAAGTACAGGCATGAGCCACCACACCTGGCCTGCTGACAGGTATTTTTTTAATTTGTGAAAACAAACTCACTTGTCAGTAAAATTATTTCACTTTGAAAAAAGGCCTTTAGAAATCATTTGTTTTAAGAAAAAGGGGTTAGCTTTTTTTTTGCTTGAAAAAGTCTGTAATTTGGTTTGTATAACAATAGCAAAGTAGAATTTGTAGTTGGTGATATTTTCTGGGTTTAGAGTAGACAGTCTGGAAGAATGTGTATAGATTTTTGATAAATAACAGCAGCTGCAATGCAGAATGGTGTTAGTACGTTAGCTCTTATTCACAGGGGAAGGTCAGTGTGTTTTCCTAAGGGACTTCAATATGGATGTGTGACATCTTTTGGCGTGCAATTGACTTTAACGTTTATCACTTTTTTTTTTTTTTTGAGATGAAATCTTGCTTTGTGGCCCAGGCTGGAGTGCAGTGGTGCAATCTGGGCTCACTGCAACCTCCGCCTCCCGAGTTCAAGCGATTCTCCTGCCTCAGTCTCCCAAGTAACTGGGATTACAGGCGTGCACCACCACGCCCAGCTATTTTTTTGTATTTTTAGTAGAGACAGGGTTTTGCCATGTAGACTGGTCTCGAATTCCAGACCTCAGGTGATCTGCCTGCCTCAGCCTCCGAAAGTGCTGGGATTACAGGCGTGAGCCACCGTGCCCGGCCCCTCACATTTATGCTGTGATGTGTTCATAGAAAATGTGATCACATGCCTTACTCTTTCAAAGAAAAAACTTCTAATAGCCTAAAACTACGTTAAGAGTCTTTTGTCAATGGCCTGTGCTTCCAAAAATGGTTGGTTTTACCATTTTCCCTGAAAAATGTGCCACAATGGCAAGATCTTAAATTACAAGATAAGCAGGCCATACCTCCTCCGGGGCTTAAATTGTTACGCTCCTTGTGTAAAATAGTATTTTTGTTTTCAAATACCCCTTCTCACTTGTAGCATCTTTGCATATGAAAATTTAAGATTATTTTCTAAACCTGCCTTATCCAATGTTGATTATATGAAGCAAAATATTTCCTTGAACCTAAAAATGTCTGCATGCCTTTGCCCGTCCGTCTTCCTGTCTCTGGGCCGCCCTTTCCTCCTTCCTTGCCCAGCTTTTTGAGCTGTTGCCTGGCTGCACAGTTCAGCGAAATGCCTCAACTAGCTCAGGCCTTGCCGAGTCCCTAGATGTGTGTGTTGTCTGTGCTTCCTGCCCTCATCCCCACCCCAGCCCTCCTAGACAGCCCCGTTGTGGTCTCATTCCCAGAAAACCTGGATAGTTCCTTGGAAGGATGATGAAGCTAATTCACACTACTGTGGCAGTGACTCCATCGCCCTTCCCAGGGGAGATTAGGGTTTTAACTGACAACTTTTACCTTAAACCAAAAAGATTTGGAATTCCAGGCCCTATGGCAGACTTCTGGGAAGGGATTTTGTTTGTTTGTTTGTTTGTTTGTTTGTTTGAGACAGGCTCTTGCTCCGTTGCCCAGGCTGGAGTGCAGTGGTGCGATCCTAGCTCACTGCAGTCTCAAACTCCTGGGCTCAAGCCATCCTCCCACTTCATCCTCCCAAGTAACTGGTACTATGGACATATACCACCCTGCCCAGCTAAGTTTTGTATTTATGTATTGATTGATTTTTTTTTAAGACAGACTCTTACTCTGTTGCCCAGGCTGGAGTGCAGTGGCGCAGTCTTGGCTCACTGCAGCCTCTGCCTCCCAGATTCAAATGATTCCCCTGCCTCAGCCTCCCAAGTAGCTGGAACTACAGACACGTGTCACCACACCTGGCTAATTTTTGTGGGTTTTTTTTAGTACATTCTGAGTTTTACCATGTTGGGTAGGCTGGTCTTGAACTCCTGACCTCAAGTAATCTGCCCGCCTCAGCCTTAGCCTCCCAGAGTGCTGGGATTATAGGCATGAGCCACCATGCCTGGCCTAAATTTTGTCTTTTTGTAGAGATGGATTCTCATTAAGTTGCTCACTCTGGTTTCGAACTCCTGGCCTCAAGTGATCCTTCCTTCCGTCTCAGCCTCCCAAAGTGCTGGAATTACAGATGTGACCCCCCCACACCCAGCCTGGGAAGGGATTTTTTTATGTGGCGGGGACTTTCTGGTCTTCCTCCAATTAGGCCACAAGGCCACCTGCACCTCCTTGATGGCTGGTTTGTGTTCTGGTTGCTATAGTTACATCCTGTGGGTGCCGCTCTTCTGTGCCTTGATTCTCTACTGCAGGTGGGGACACTGGGAATGGAATGCGAACTTCCCGGTTGTGTAACCGGTGCTTGCAGGGAGTAAACAAAGCTGCTTTCCAGCAAGGTTATCTTTATCACCTAACAAGGCATGCATGTGCATTTTATCTGTGGCCACTCTATCATTTAAAAAGAAATTTGGGGCTAGGCACAGTGGCTCACACCTGTAATCCCAGCACTTTGGGAGGCCGAGGTGAGCAGATCACCTGAGGTCAGGAGTTCGAGACCCACCTCGCCAATATGGGGAAACCCTGTCTCTACTAAAAATACCAAAAAATTAGCTGGGCGTGGTGGTACATGCCTGTAGTTCCAGCTACTCAGGAGGCTGAGGTGGGAGGATCACTTGAACCTGGGAGGCAGAGGTTGCAGTGGGCTGAGATAGTGACGCTGCACTCCAGGTTGGGTGACAGAGGGAGATTCTGTCTCGAAAAACTAAATTAATTAAAAAATTAAATTTTGCTGAGCAAAAATAATATTTTCACCCAGTGTTAGTATTGGCAAATAAATTATACAGCAAAAAGTAGCAAGGATACTAGCATCTGTGCCTTTTGTAAGATTGTTCATTTTCCCTGCGTGAACAAAAGTCTAGTGGCAAACCAGCAGCACACCTCCAAGAATTGTTAGCAGTTCAGTGTGTCCAGTGTGTGGAATATGTGGTGGGGAGCACTGGAACGCAGAACCACTGCAGAGCCGAATGGGGAGACACCAGGGTCTTAAGAAAATCCTGAAGTGTAGAAGGCGCCTCTGCTCTCAGGTGTGAAAGAACCTGGACTGTTGCACAATAAATGGAGGCGTTTCTTCCCTTTTCTTTTCTTTTTTTTTTTTGAGACAGTCTCACTGTCACCCAGGCTGGAGTGCAGAGGCGTGATCTCGGCTCACTACAACTTCCGCTTACCTGGTTCAAGTGATTCTCCTACTTCAGCCTCCGAGTAGCTGGGAATACAGGTGTGCACCACCACGTCTGGCTAATTTTTGTATTTTAGTAGAGACGGGGTTTCATCATGTTGGTCAGGCTAGTCTCGAACTCCTGACGTCGTGATCTGCCTGCCTCGGCCTCCTGCCTGGCCTTCTTCCCTTTTCTTTTCCTTCCTGCTAGTATGTGAATGTATTATCCCTCCCCAGGCCTCATGCGCTATCCATTGGTTAATTTATTCAAGCAAATGCTTGGTACTAGGATAAATATAAAGGCAAAAAAAAAAAAAATGTGTTTGTGTGTGTGTGTGTATCCCCTGCTCTGAAAAAGCTTATTATTTAAAAAATGAAATTCAACATACTTTAAATCTCTGATACTTGTAGATGCAGCATAGGTGGTTTCACTTATTTGCCAGTTATAAGAGGTCTTTACTTACACAAGTTGATGATTTTGCTAAAGCAGAAACCATGGATGAACTAATAAATGACTGTCCTGTAGGACCCAGTATGGCCCCCATTGTCACTTTAAAGCTGTCCTTCAGGACTGTCACTTTTCTGGTGGGTAAGCTTAGTAAACTGCCTACCATCCACACACACAGCAACTTTGCTGTTTTTGTTTACATGTAACATACATGGCATCTCTCAGAAATAGCATTTTAGAAACATGTTTCTTGGCAAAAAGTAAAAAAAAAATCCAAGTACAATGTAATTTTATTGGAAGTTAAAAGTAGCTGTGTTGTGATCTGAGGCTATGCACAATGGATGAGTCATTAGGAAGCCTAGAGCCTCTGTGCATTTTATCCCGTCTAAGAGTTTAGATCTTCGTATCTGCCTTAAGAATATCAAATCTACGGTATAGGAAGGTTCCCTGCCCCCAACAGCTACCATGCAGGGTAGGAGAGAGACCCTTAGAAAACAATTAAATACGAGACCACATGATCCTTACTCTAAGTGTAATAAACAGCTGTTAAACTAGTGGAAAGAGCGGTGGGTTAGAGTGGTTGTAGCAGATGGAGTGGGAGCTTGATCTGAGCTGGCTCTTCGTTGAGCAGAAAGGAAGAGCCCAGCTTAGGCACTGGTATGGGAGACAGACATGATTTGGGAGGCCGAAGGGGTTGCTGTGGAGGCCAGAATAGAGGATGAAGAGTCTCCACAGCCCAGGGAGGACCCTTCCTCTCACACTGCCTTCTCAGCATCCTGGAGTTACTAATTTCCATCAAACCGGTGAATTTTGTAGGTGAGAAATTCCAACAAGTTGTCTTCCGAACTATTTCCTTTAAAAATCATTTATT